CCTGGCCCCGGCCCCCCTGCGCAGGGCCAGGCCCATCGCCGACCTCCACGCCGCGCAGGTAGGAGAAGCCCGGCGGCCGGCACCCCCAAGAAGGTGCCCACAGCAGGCACAGCGGACACGTGTGTGCAGGAGGCACACGCACGTGCCACGGACTTACACGCAGGCGCAAGCAGGCGCAGGTAGACACGCACGCACTCACGCACGGTTTTAAAAAGTCTTTGAGGCGCCTGAGCAGAGGCCGGTGGCCACGGCCCTCCTGCTCCTTCCCTGGGGCCTCCCGAGCGCTGCGCGTGCGGGTCGCCTGTCTGCGCTGCTGACGGTGGCCCCCACACAGTTGCTGTCCCAGGCAGCAAGGGAGGCGGAGGAGGCGCTCACGGGCCGGGGGGCCTCTCCTCGGGGCTCGTGGGGTCGGAGGCCCCGTGGGGCTCCCAGGAAGCACGAGTCTCTGACGCCCAGCCCCGATTAACCAGCCGGCCCCAGCGGCCTCTAGTGAGCCCCCACGGCCCCCCACCTCGGTGGCCACAGAGAGCCCCACCTGCTGGAACCGGGGCGCCCCAGCTGGCCGCCCGCCACGCTCGCTGACGCCCCGCAACGACCGAGGAGGGACCCGGACGAGGCTCTTTCCCCGGGAAGCGAGCAGGGCCGGGAGCAGGGCCCGGGGGCTGGCTGCAGCCTGGCGCTCTAGGGCTCGGCGGCAGCGGCCCTGCTCAGCCTCCCCAAGGTTTCACCGGCTCCCAGCCCTGCCACGGCGGAGGCCAGTGAGGAAGGGTGGCCGGAGCGCCGGCCCCCAGGCCCTCCTGGCCCCCAGGCCCAGCCACGCCTCCCTGAGCCTCCTTCGAGGTGCAGATGCAGCCTGGGCCACCTCCAGCCGGACCCCTGACCTCAAACCTTGCCCTTCCCCTCCCGTCTCTCTCTCATCTGGGCACCTGCTGGCATCCCAACGCCCCCACTGGGTGAGCACCCACTGGGCTGGCATGCACCTCAGACGCGTGATGCTGGGGCTCCACAGGGCCCCCCAACAAGTGCCCACGCCCTCTGCTGCTCACTGGCCCTGCTCACCCGGCCTCTGCCCGCTCGGCTCCGGAGCCCCGTGACATCGCTGCACCCCCGCCCTGCTCCAATTTCCTCCCTTTGAGGGCTGCACGAAGGGTGCCCCAACAGGCACAGCTGCCGCCGCGCACGGTGACCTGCACCCCGCCAGCTCCTGGAGCTCCGCCCCCGCCAGGGATGGAGGCTGAGTGCCCGTCCGCGCTCTGGCTGCCGCGTGCCCGGCGGCCGGCTCCGCTGGCCTCCCTCCACTGAGGTGCTTAGGGCGTGTCCACAGTGCCCGTGGGTAGGGACCCCCCCGGGGTCAGGTGCCATCCTACGGACCATCCAGCAGGGAACAGGCCGTGTGGGCCCCGGCCCTTAAGCCGTCCCTGGACGGACGCCCCTGCGGTCACCGCTGCCCACTCGGTCCCTGCGTCAGGCGCTGAGTCCCTCGCAGCGTCCTCGGACCCAGCCGCTCCTGGTCCCGCAGCTCTGAGCTGGGCCTCAGGGTGGCCGCACCCTGCACACACGCACACGCACACGCACACGCACACGCAGCAGGTCACAGCCGCACGGAACACACCCGAGACGCACGCGGCAGGGTGTGACCCGCACTCTCTCTGCCACAGTGGTTCCTGGCCAAATACGGCTGGGCTGAGGGACCCCGGAGGACAGCGGAGGCGTCGGGGGGCGCCGGCCCCGGGAGGCCGGCCCCGGGGCCCGTGGGTGCCGCCCTGGCTGAAGCCATGCGAAGATTCCAGAAGGTCAACGCGCTGCCGGCCAGCGGGAAGCTGGACCCGGCCACGCTGGCCGCCATGAACAGGCCTCGCTGCGGCGTCCCGGACACGCGGCCCCTGCCCCAGGCT